ATTAATTATTTTTTTAAGTCGCCTTCTTTTTAGAATCTGAAACTTTGTTCATGAAATAACTTATCCTTTTTTGGATGCTCTGTATCTCAAAAACCAAGTCGTTGCGGATCCATGTTCATATGAACTTTTTATTTAAAAATTAGTCAGATATTCACCCTTTAAGGTTTGTACAAATACTTAATAAACATCCCGTGTAGTAGATGACGAAGTATATTTCGTATGATCGGCAAAAGATGGCGTTTCAAATTTCAGATAAAATCTGTATAATTTTGTGACCTAAAAAATTAAATGAGCAGAATTTTTTTTATTTAGTTATTTTTGAAGCTGTAACATCGTAAATAATAGTCGTATCGAAAAAAAACATCTTGAAACTTGAAGATTCCAGTTTTGAAATTTTGAAATGAAAAATTAAAGAAAGGATGTAAAAATAAGCTCTATTTAATGTAAAAAGAGCGAATTCCCGAGGGGCTTTTGCCTGATCCTGGGACAATTTTTTTATAATGTGTTTTGCATGTCCTACTTTGTTAGTTGTAAATAGCTACTTAATTTGAACTTTTCGAAATGTTTCTTTTTCGATACGTTTCTTTGGATCAGTCAACACATATCTTCGATATCAACATTTAGTAATTAAACTAATAATTGAAAAAAAGGAACGAAATTAATTAACAACTACCTGGTCAATCGAATCATCGTTTGGCACACATGTTGGTCATTGGATTGATCGTGTTTTCCATAAATATCATCAACATCTACCGCTTTTTGCAATAATAATGCACAATTTTCGAAAACTGATTTTTGTGCGTTCAACTTTTATTTTACAGTTAACGAATTGGTGAAATGTGACTTTCGGTACCTTAAATTGTAGTTAATTTATTTGCCTTTTACACAAAATGACTAATTTTCCGATAGATCGTCTAGATTTTCATGGAAATGGTAAAAAAAAAGTGAAAAAATACATAAATTTGCTACTTATTTGCCATTTACAAACTTGGTCCGTCAAATAGTGCAATAAAAAGTCCACTAATAATTTTTTCACGTTCAAACACAAATTCGACTGGAGTATTATAAACATTCGTAAAAATACAACATAAATAAAAAGAGTTAAAGGATATTTACTTCATTTCTATAAGTTCGCATGTAATTGTCCACTTAAATCGATATATGTTCAAGAAAGCATATATTTCTTAATAAATTAAATAAAAAAAATTGCAAATTATGAAAATTTCGCTTAGCTTGTATAATAGCATGTCTAACGTATCTTTTTCTTTTCAGACCACCCTCATAAGCGCCTCGCAATACCTGTTTTCCGCTCTGGACAGCCGCGCTTACTTACGATCGGCGACTGTCTTGCTTCCCCCTTCCTGGCCCGATTCCTGCGTGTCAAGCTCGGTCCTTTCCGCTTCCGGTGAATCTTCCGATGTCACCGTCTTGGCAAGCGACCCCACCCGGGGCAAGATATGGACGCAACAATCGCTGGGTTGCGGTCAACCGGGCGATCAGATCTACTGGGGATACGAGAGCTTGCTGATGAAGGATAATGCTCTAGGTAAGAAACGTTTTACGGCAACGATAAGTCAATCACTTATTATTAAAAAATTACTAATGAATTATATTTGTTTTAGCCCGATCTCTGATAAAAGAATTCGCCATGTACCGTTATGGGGTTTTCGAGGAGCAAGGGTACTATAACGATCCGATCTACCCCATGTGTTACTACGACGACCAAATCAAACAGGCAAAAGTCACCGGATGTTCAGATCTACCAATACGCGACAATGGGTGAGTAAACAAAGGAATATCTACCATCTCCTAACTAAACCTTTCTTTCTTCTTTCTTTCAGCATCTGCTCTACGGATCCCAACGCGGTGTACAACACCACCAAAATGGTGGACGAAAGAGCTCGCTCTTCCATCATGTTCGCAGCTGAAGCCCCCCAGGTGTCGATGTTCTGCGACGAGGGCAACCACGACCGTCTGGCGCCCACCAAGCACAATCTGATCTGTCAGAGACGCAGCGTCTTAGACGTCATCATCAGTCACAAAGATTTCACTCTGAACGTCCCCCAGAACACGCTTAACTCCAACCAAATCACCGATACCACCCCAAGGATCATCTACAAGAAGCAGAATTTGACACGTTACGTCTTCGTCATCGAAAACACGAAGGACATGATGCAAAGGGAGTCTTGGAGTTACCTGAGGTTAGCCTTGAGGCAGTGGGCCAGTTATATATTGCCGGATAACACGGAAATCGGAATGGTTCTGTCTGATTCCGTTCAACCATCCAGAGCATTGAACATCGTTCCCGCTAGAAGCAACTTCAATGATAGATTCGGGAATAACAGAGATAAGTTCTACTCTGCTCTGCCGTACACTCCTAGTGAAAGTATGCAACCTGGATGCCTACATTGTTCTCTCAAAGAAGCAATGCATATGCTCAACGCCCGTACAAAGACTCACGGACCTGCTAATAATGTCGTAGTCGTCATAGCTCCCGGAATGAACCTGGAAGACCACCTGCAAAGTACCGCCAAGGATTTGAAGAGGTCTAAGATCAGAGTAGCCACTATAAACTATCCTGACATCGTGAGATCAAACACCATGAGTTTACTGGCTCAGGAAACGGACGGTGCTGATTATACAGTGTTTGAGCAAAAGCTGAACGTTGATAGCACCTTACTTTCCACTTATTTTGAGCTACACAACGTCTTATACGATATCGTAACTAAATTCTATTCTGGAAGCCAAGCGGACTTGCCTATAGAAATTCACCGAAGAGAAATCATTGACGATGGAAGGTCTTCGGTAACTGGAAGCTTTATGTTGGACCCCAGCATGGGAGAACCGGCTCAATTCACTTTTTATACGCACAACACCGTCACACCCCTCATCAAAGGTTTGAAACTGATCAGTCCCAGTCATCAGACGTTTGCTGATAGGAATGACAAATTCATCGATTTCAAAATGATCACTCTAAACTCAAATATATCTGAGGTAAGAATACAGGTCTTTAAATTAAGCAAAACATATAATCTTGGTTTTGTTTCAGACTGGCACTTGGACTTACGTTGTGGAAACCTACACAGGCAATCCACAACCTCACTACTTGCAAGTAATGGCTACTCCAAAGTCGCCGACTGTGAACGTGGTGCGAGCCAACTTCAGAATGCACAGGAACTCACCCGGAGATCCTTTGATCCTCTTGGCTGATGTTAAGAATGGAGATCTGCCAATCCTGGGAGCTAAAGTGGAAGTGGTAGTTACCAAACCTGATACGAACAGTTCCATGGTGCACAGAAGTAAAATAGAACTGTTGGATACCGGTGCTGGAGACCCGGACATCACCAAAGGCGACGGCGTTTACACCAGGTACTTCAGCGCTGCCGAGTGGGGACCAGGACTGTATACCTTCGAAGTGATTGTAACTGACAATGGGAATACCGCTTATACCTGGACGGAATCTTCAAGAAACAACGGTAAAATCCTTTCTATTTCTGAATATTTTACGAGATACCTGTAATTGTTATTCTAACAATCATTTTCTTTTCAGAAGATAGACCTTGCTGTGGAAGTTTGATACCATCAAATGGCGTCCAACCTATCTCTCCCTTCCAAAGGGTATTGCCTAAAGCCACGATTCTTATAACACCCGAGGAAATCCAGTCAGCAAGTCAAGTCTCTGTGGGTCGTATAGGAGACTTGAAGGTAGAGGTCATTCCAGAAGACATGAAGGCCCGTTTATCCTGGACCTCTCCAGATATGGGTGGAACCACTGTATCACGTTATGAGATCCGTTACGCCTATTCAGTTTTGGATATTATGGACAAATTCGAAACCTCTGCTACGATCTGGGACAACGGTCAACCGTTTCCCTTGGCGCCTGGCTCAGAAACCACCCTCACCCTGGACATGAGTCAGAATAAAGAACTATTGGACAAGCCTCTATACTTTGCCATCAAGGCTTATCCTAAGTTCACCTCGGACTTTTCCGGGCCAATATCTAACTGGGTGAGAGTGTTGGTACCTTCACCACCACCACCACCAACTGTCCCTCCCACTTATTCCTCCAACGAATTGGGTTTTTGGCCGAGCAACAACAATAACAATGTCGGTGTGGATCCAGTCACCCCAAGTATCGCTAGTGCTATGCCTGTAGGACTAGAACTTATCTTACCAGTCGTGATCGGTATTATTTTGCTGATACTGCTCTTGATAGTGTACTGCTACTTCTGCGTCATCAAGAAGCGCAGGCGAGACAACCACAAAAATTCCAGCAAGGCTAACACCATAAAGAAGGACAACTTAAGCTCCACGATCACCATCGTACCCAGCTCACCGCAGAATGCTACACAAACGTACGTGAGTGCCGATGCACCAGATCCCCACCAAGTCGGTGTGCCAGTGAACAACTACGCTTATGAAGACGAGACCAAGAAACGCTATTCTCTCGTTCACCACCAAGAGCAGCAGCTGATCGAGGAGTTGAAGCAGCAACAGCAGCAACAAATACACCAGCAACGCGATGCTTACGGGGGAGTCAGCGTCATTTCCAACAACACCATCAACAGAAACCAACCGATCCTTAGCCCTTACAACTCCTGGAGCGCTTCCCAGCTTCTCCACGAGCACGAAAGGCGCCACAGCCCTATGGACGGTTCTATGATGGAACAAGAACAGATGATATCCCAAGAAATAATGCTGAACAACGACCACATGTCCGTGAACGGGCAAAGTATCGACCACATGAGCATCAACCAAGTGCAGGAACCCTACCCCCAGGATCACCTCCCCCCTCCGGTACCCCCACTACCAGCTTTCAACGGTAACGGCTACCCAGTGAACTACAACATCTACGGCGTCCACCAGGCTCCCGTGCAACAAGGCCACGCGATCTACCAGAGTATGCAGAGGAACGAGTCTCTGGCCCCCTTCAACCCCAGCCTGCAGGGTTCGCTTAACTCGGTGAACTCGGGGGAGAAGAAGAGACGTAACGTGACGATGGTGTAACATAGTGTAACCGTGGTGGACACGATAAGCGTGAAAAAATTCGAGACTTTTACGAGTTATCTGTGAATGGGTGTTGTACATTTTGTATAGTTTTGTAAATATTCTTTGTTTTTTACTAGTCAGGTCGTGTTAGATGTTTGTTAGATGAAAACAAAGCCAGTACTTATTAATATTTAATATTATTCGTAGGATACGTAGTGTACAAATTTTGTTTTTGTTAAATTGAAGACTGATCTCACATAATGTTTTTCTTATTTCTATTGTCGTAGCATTGTGGGGTTGCGTTCTAAGGTACTCTGTTTATCTTTTTTGTATATAATTATTTCTAGTGTTAAGGGTCAACAATTTTGTAAATATTCTCCATAAGTATGCAATTGCCAGTAAATGTTGTCTTGAGTTTTTTAATACGTGTTTTATTTCGTCCTCTGGCCTTAAGTTAAATTTCAAATTGAAGAGTCTCTTTTACAAAATCAATTTTCCCAAAAATTGCTTTTCCTCAAATGTTTATCATGATAATTCATAGAAAAATACATTTAAAGTTTAAAAATTTTATGAAAGGTGCACCACGTTCTTACGACTACAATATTCAATCAACAAATAAGAAGAAAACAATGTGGTCAAGTTCTATAGGAATATCAATATAATTATTTTTATTTTATGAAATTTTGACAATAACAAGTCCATTTCCAGTTTTATTTGCGAGGTTGTTTCTAGCGGGAAATTGAAATATGATGAAAATATGATGTCTTATGACGTGTAGTTAATTTAACCTGACGTTAGTCAGAGAGATCCATTACATTTTTTCCGCATTAGAACTCAAACACATTTTTTTTGTTTTCATAGCTCTGAGACACCTTAGAGTTTACAGCAAGTATCGCATGTTAAAAAGTGTAGGAAAGAAGGATAGTTCGGATACTCGCTGTCTCTCTCTAATCGTTGATTATAACTATTTTCATTTATTCATGATTTCAGAATCATAACGCGTTACGATCCGAAATCTAGCAACCTGATTGGTTTCCATCGGAACATAACGCGTTATGATTTCGAAATCATGAATAAAAGAAAAGGGCTCATATACTACAGCCAAAGAACGGAGAAATTGCGTTAGCTAATCACGTGCCTGTGCGAGAGAGAAATATAGTAGGTACCGAAACTATCCCTTTCTCACGGAAACCTAAGACTAATAGCATGTCAACTTGTTCGCTAAATGAAAACTTCCATTTTCAAAATACTCAGTAAACATTTACTAAAATTAATAACCTTTTTTCCTAATCGCCAAGTCTGACGTTTAAATTCATAGCCAACTTTTGAATTTTCCATGATTTTAAATAACAATAACACTCATTATTAGTTATTCGTGGTTTTGTTGAAAACGATAAAATTTTTTGAAAACTAACAAGAGTAAGAAAAGTTTTAGAATTAAATTCTGTAGGCTTAACTTTTGGCGGCACAATATGTTAAAAAAATTCGAAAAATGTCATATTTTTCTTCCTATTTAATTACGTATCTTTTCAAGAATTGATTTTAGGCAAAAATAGAAGAGGAAAAAAATGTTTGAAATTAAATTTTTTACAAAATGTGACTAGTTAATCAAATGAATCATGATTATTGTAAAAATCGAAAAAATCGCCAAAAATGGGGTTTTGAGGAATTTTTTTGGGGTCTTTCAATTGGATATAGGACCTTCATACTTGGCTCAAGAAAACTTCATGTTATGTAGAATCATCATACCAAATTTCATAAAAATCGGTTCGATAGATTTTGCATAATAATTTTGCAATCGAGATTTTGAAAAAAAATGTGCAAATTTTCAAAATTTTGCGGAGCAAAAACCAATGCCCTTAGATACTTGAAAATTTAAGCACATATAGAAGGACTCTCAAGCTTTCAAATGCTTTTTGAAAAATTCGAATCCGTCAATTAGGAGAGCTCTGGCACTTATTTAAACATTGGTCGAATTTTTGTACTTGCAAACAATTAGAATAACTGTGCTGTGTGAATATTCAATCAAATTAAATTTTTTAAAGCAGTTTTTAGAAGTTATTGGAAAGACGCTTCTTAAAAAAAACAGATTGATTGGTCAATTAGTTACGTAGTTATAGTCGATCAAAGTTAACCGTCATTTACACTAAATGTACTAGGACATCCGAGCTAATCTTTCGAAAAATTTCTTTGGTATTCCCAGTACTTACCAGGTCTAAGTTTGCAATACTTTTCTTCATTGGCTATAAAACGTGTTTAAAGTTATTTATCCACGACTATTGTATAATGTACCCATTATACGTCTGTTTGCTCGACCTTAATAATACCCATTAATCACGGCAGTGATTAATGAGTCATTAATCACTACTGTCAGATGCTTCCTTAATTTAGCTATAATATTATATTGTTCTGCTACAAACAATCCGTTTTTAAAATTTTATCGTGTAAACCACTAAATATTTTCAATTCAGTGCTGTACATATAAAAAAAAAATTAAAAAAGTGAATTTTCCTAGACCGGATTCGAACCCGGGACCCGCGGTTGGAAGGGAAAGAGCATCTACACTGAGCCATCAGCGACTTCATTTGTGCGAGTCGTATATCTGTTTCTTAACATACCATGTTTTTCGAAACATTTCAAAAAAAACTTCAACAAAAATATTTAGTAGTCGTGGATAAAGTATAGTATTCTACTCCCGTATAATGGGTATTATTCACTCGGTGATTTAGGCCACTCGCCTGCGGCTCGTAGCCGTAAACTTCACCTCGTGAATAATACCCATCATTATACGCTCGTTGAATAATATACTATTATGCAAGCGAGAAATTCAAGAAAATTGTACGGGTGGTGGTGGTGGGGGAAGCAGAGAGCGCGGCCGCTTCGACCTGCTCGAAATTGAATTGGCGAGTTCAACACCGCAACGTGCTTAAAAATTTTTAATATCTCAGCTTCTAGCGGTCCGATTTTGATGAGTTTTTTTTTAAATCGATGTCTCGCGATTTAAAGAAACAATTAGCGTATTTTCAAATGCCTATCGTTAATAATTATTGGTCTATCCAGTCCGATAATTATTTATCTTTAAACTTCCTTTAATTATCAACTTTATTTTTTTATTGTATCAAAGGTAAGTGCATAAACTTATATACTGTTTATCAAAAATCAAAAACAAATTTATTTAAATATTCTAAAATTGTTTAAACAACAAAATATGTAGAAAATTAGTAATATAATGAGTTAATTTCTCATTTGCTTTTATTTTAAACAATAAATCATATTTGAATTATACTTTAATCACAAAAGAAATGATAATCAAAATTAATAAGTTAATTATAAAAAATTTATAATATTTCATTCATACTCAATAACTTTTAAAACCTGCTTTAAAAAATTAGATTTGATTGAATATTCACATTGTTATTCTAATTGTTTATAAGTACAAAAATTTGACCAATGTTTAAACTAGCGCCAGAGCTCTCCCAATTGACGGATTCGAATTTTTCAAAAAGCGTTTGAAAGCTTGAAAGCCCTTCTATATGTGATTAAATTTTCAAGTATCTAAGGACCTTGGTTTTTGCTGTGCAAAATTTTGAAAATTTGAAATTTTTTTTTCAAAACCTGGATTGTAAAATTATTATGCAAAATCTATAAAACCGATTTTGATGAAATTTGGTGCGATGATACTACATAACATGAAGTTTTCTTGAGCCAAGTATGAAAGTCCTATACCCAATTTAAAGACCTCAAAAAAATTCCCTAAAATGTAATGTTTTTAACCTCATTTTTGGCGATTTTTTCGATTTTTACAATAATCAGGATTCATTCGATTTACCAGTCATATTTTGTAAAAAATTTAATTACAAACATACGTAATTAAATAGGAAGAAAAATATGACAGTTTTCGAATTTTTTTAACATATTGTGACGCTAAAAGTTAAGCCCACGTTTTGTTTATCCACATAGAAAAATGTTCATTTCTAGTGATACATATTTGAATGCCAAAAAGCCATAAATCTCCGTGGATATACGATTCACCCAAACCAAAACAGATACCGCCTAGTCTAGTTGCAGTTTTCTTCAAATCTTAAAGCCGAATTCTAAACCCTATCCAATGGGTGTACAAACTAAAAAATGAATAGCTTTTGAAACATAATTTTGTATACAGATCCCATTGCCACAAGAACAATGGTCACATATAGTCATAGAGTTACCTTTAAATAATTATATTGTGGCTAGTGCGTAAGCTTTATGTATACCGCTAGATGGCAGCCCATTAGTCTAAATTGATTCTTGTTTTAAATTTTAAAAATAACTTCAATTTTGAATGTAGCAATCCTATTCCAGTAACCAAAACTATACAAAATCAAACTTCAGATCACTAAAAGAATATAAATTATAATAGGTTAGTGATATATTACCAAACTTTAACATTTTTTAAACAAAAATATTGTAATTAACTGTTGTTATTGGCGAGTAAGAGAAAAATTGTTAGAAACATTAGTACTAAGATTGTAAATTATTTCATTATCGTCATGTTTCCCATATAGTCCACTTAGTACCTATATTTGTATTGAGTCAGTTGCATTTACAAAATTTTTTTTAGATTTAATGCTGAAAACATAATTATTGAGATAATATAAAATATCTAACATTCAAAAGGTCCTTATTATATAATTTATTTTTGGAAAAAAGGTAGGATTAAGTCCAGGATCTTACTAAATTCTGAAACTTGTGCGAATATCACGTTGACATTAATTTAATATGAACCAAAGTTCATTACAAATAAAATTTGTTAATTTTTCATTGTTTTAAACAAAAAATGTACGAAACAAATAAGATTACGATACGGTGGCGTATTTAAAAAATTTTAGATGTGCAAAACGCAGTTGGCAACGCATGCAACAAGACAAGAAGTGCATAATCCAAGCTGGATGCTATCCAGTCGATAGATGAGCGGAAGCTTGCATCTTGCAGTTAGTTGCAACTCTTTTGTCCTTATCTCGGTATTAGTTAAAAATATTTTATAGTAAATAGTTAAAATGGGTTTAAAGTATATTTCTCTGTGCACTCCAATTATCGCTTTTGCGTTTGTTATAGGAAAAAGTAAGTGCAACATTATGTATCTACAACTAATTTTTGAATTTTTAACGATATTGTTTGCCATTTATTATTGTAATTTCAATAGCAATAGTAGTAGTTGGAATTAGTTTGTATTTTAATTAAGTTTAAAATATGCTTTTTCTATCTTTTTTGTCTATTGTATGTACGTATTTAAATTTAAACAAATGCCCTTTACTGATTTACACTTGCTTGTACACTAAATCTAACAAAAAAAAAATAATAATAAAACGTGAAGAAAGTGGGTTGTTTCTTTAGAAATTATGTTTATGCCTTTAGATACATCTACACTTAATAACATTTT